ACTAGTAAAAAGGCTTGATTTAAATCAACTCGATTTAAATCATAATTTTTAAAGAACAACTGTCATGTCTGCTACTCCTTTCACCCATTGTTGACTCACCGATAGTCCCAGTGTTGCAGAATATACAGCCTCATGCTACATAATTAAGCTCCATTTCATGCTGAATAAACTAAATTATTTATGTATTTTAAATAGAAAACTATCTTACGATAGATTTTTACCCCAAAAGTTTTTTATTAAAATAAATTTGATAAAAATCAAAAAAATCCGATTTAAATCAAAAAAATCTGATTTTTTTGATTTTTTTAAAAAAATCATTGATTTTTTATCCACCCTGCTTGTTGAAAAGTTTTATGAAATGGGTTTCTGTGTAAAAGAGGTCCATATACCCTGTTTCCAGCAGTTCAGACGCCTGGTTTGTGAAAGAGGGCAGAGCCACAAAGATCCTTCTGGTGCAGGCAGCCTCCCGTAATGTGTTGGTCCCCCTACCCCAGGGGTCTCCAAACTCCACAAGTTGTAAAGTTGCCAAGTTGCTACATGTTGACTGAGGAATTCTGGGAGTTGTCCATAAGTCAAAGTTGCCAAATTTGGAGGCCCCTGCTCTACCCCAATAACTTAGATTTGAAGTTCCATCACCTCCTGCTGCTCCAGCCATACATGTGGAAGGCACTCAGTAAGGAACAGATGGTCTATGGTGAGTCATGCATGTTTCTATCAACCTTTCTTGTCATATGTTTGCATATTAGTAATTTGCAGCAGGCTGGCCGGCCGGCCCAGTAGCACTGTTTTTTTAAAAAAAATTGATTTATATGCCGCCCTTCTCTGGAGACTCAGGGCGGCTTACAATGCGTTAAGCAATAGCCTTCATATTTTTGTATATTTATACAAAGTCAGCTTATTGCCCCCACAAACTGGGTCCTCATTTTACCTACCTTAGAAAGGATGGAAGGCTGAGTCAACCTTGAGCCTGGTGAGATTCGAATTTACAGTAATTGCAGACAGCTGGTGTTAATCACAATGCTTTTAGTCTGCTGAGCTACCAGGCCCTTTAAACTTCAAGTTCAAAAGCAAAAAAAAAATGTTTCAGGATACCAGGCTGTACAATCACTGTAACCTCTCAACAACTCTTTAAAGGAAACATGTCCTCTTAATCTCAGAAAAAGAAGCACTTAGTTTAACAAATGGCAGATGGATTTACATTAGCATCCTTTACCTTTCAAAGCACTTTTGGGTCTTTGAATCTGAAGAGTTGCACAGTCCTAATGGGCTGGATTAAAGAGAGAACAAAGACCACTTCAGGGTGGTCACCAGGAAGACATTTATATTCACCATAGGAAACTAGGCTTTTATCTCCTTGATTAGAAAGTCAGATTCTAACTGGGTTCATACATTGAAGTGGGCCAACACACGGCTGGTTCGCAATAGAATAGAATAGAATAGAATAGAATAGAATAGAATAGAATAGAATTTTTATTGGCCAAGTGTGATTGGACACACAAGGAATTTGTCTTGGTGCATATGTTCTCAGCATATTGCATAAAATGTGCCATTTGCATTTGAAATTATGGCATATGGTATTATGTGAACCCAACTGTAGGATGAGTTCATGCAGCATACTATATTTAGGTTACTTAACTGGGTTTGCATAAAATGCTAAGCACAAGAGAACGTATTTTTGTGACCAAGAACCATCATTGAGGATTTATGGACCACAGAAGGTATAGCTATAATAATGCATGTAGCAAACATTGGGAAAGGGATTCCACTTTTAGAAGGGATATAGTTTTGTTTTATGTCTATTTCAGACATTCCTGCCTATGCCCATTTCCATCATTCCTGAAAATGATGGAATATTGTTAATTTTCAGTTGCACTCTTCGTGTATGATAAATTATAATTGGCATATGGGCTTTGGCTTCACGTATTTGGATTATCCAGCCATCAGTTTCTTCAATAAACTATGGTTAAGCAATCTGGCTTATGAATGAATCATTCCATACCTTTTAGTACAGGACCCAAAGCAAGATGATCTCAAGTAAACCAGAAAAATACAGATAACTCTTATCTCATTTCCTTACCAATATAGCGGCTTTCCCCCTGTTTATCACTTCAGATTCCTCGGTTTCTAAAAGTAGCTTGATCCTATTAATTTCTATCTGTTATAGAAATCTACAATTGCTGCAATCCAAGATTCTTTGACTCAGTTCTATATTATTCTGTGGTTTGGTCATCTGGAAACCTTTTCTATTCAGTGGAAGTAAAGACTAACTGTGGTAGACTTTTTGCAGCTTCTCAGATACAAGAAGGTGACCCATTCATAGGAGAAAAGTCAGCAGAGGGGAAATGAAATGATCTTGCAATATCTGGAAAAAAAAAGGAAAGGTAGAACTTGTTCTGTTTTGAACTAAATAATTCTCACCTGTACTGATCTGGCTGCACACAATATGTGCACCCAAGGCTAACTACTAATCCTGAGCTAAAATATAGTTGTCTAGCTTTAAATCTTATTACTAGCATTTCAATCCTGATGTAATGATGTACAAGTTGAGCAAATATGAGTCTTTTAGGTCACAAATTACAGTCTCTTACAGAAGCAATGGCTGGGTTTATGTATCTCACTAAGGACACACTGTTGTTTATTCAGTAAATCATGATGATACCAACCATACTTTAGCATGATGCATGAAACAATTCAGTCTGTATCGTAAAGAAAAGTTGCTTCTAAATATCCACCAAGTAGATAATAAAAAAATGAGCACAGGAGAATAATTCAGACAAAATGTAATTTTGTTTCCTAACCATTTTCAACTTATCAGCTGTTTTACAATGTCTCTGGTCTCATAAATTGAACGCAAATTGCCCGAAGAAGCTTCAGCAGAGCAACACAGGAAGAAAATCTCTAAGGGGAAGCTCAGAACACAAAGGAGCAGGCAGCACCCATGGTGGCAGTCAATCATGTCACAAGCCACTTCAAGGGTCACCAGGAAAGTCAGTTTTACAGCTGATAACTGTCCTCATTTGCTGAGCAATCATTCGCACCACCCAGTGCCAGGCAGTTGAACATTTATCACTGCCATCTCCCCATGGTCCCACTAATACCAATTCAGGTCAGGCAATACTTCCAATAATTTTAAAACCCTCTTTTGCATTTGCAAAGAAAAAGGGTTGATTAACCAGGCTGAGTTCCAGGAAAGCTCAGCCAAAGATACAGTTGCCTAGAAAGCCCTAGAAATTTATGATAATAGCCCTGAAGCAGACTTGGACACTGTGAATATTTAAATGTTTTCATTTGTAATGGGGTCTTTCCATAACAAACCTTTCCATTAATAAGGGGAAGGGGGGAACCCACATACCCACCAGTTTTTATTCTGTGAAATGTGAATGGAGATTAGAGAAGGGTACTATGGAGCAATTAAGTCACCCAACCCTCATGAGAAAAACCTCAAAAACAAACAAAAACCCCACTCCTCTACTTTCAAAAGGTGATCTGAAGAGGGGGAGAGAAAGGTGCAATGCAGGACCCTCTCCCATTTGTGTCCAGGAATAACAATTACATGATTAGCAGAGTTTCCATACTGTAATTCTGAATAATCTTTTGTTCTTCAGCCTATCGGAGAGTTTGCTTCAAACACTGAGCTTCTGAGAACTTGGAAACATTATAGTTGCAATATTTTCCTTAACAGGATTTGGCAAAGATGACATAAATGTTTAAAGATGCCAAGGAACAAGCTTCATGTAGTCAATAAAGCACATTCACACAAACAAAGGATGCACTCAGGTCATGCATACACCGTATTAAAAGTGTATGAATTATTTGTTCCGTGCTATGCACCCACAAACCTTGACCTAATCTGAGGGCTTCATTTACACAAAGTACTAAAACAACAGCTGGATCCCGAATGATCCGTTTTCATTTTTATCCAATCTACTATATTAGAAGAACTCAATCATTGAAACACAAAGTAGCCAGGCATATTTTTAGCCCAATATATTGTGTGAACGCAGCCTGTTAGTTTCTTAATGTATGGCAACCCCCCCCCAACTTACATTAGCTGAGTAACCCATGATTATTAGTTCACTAGTAAATGACTTGTAGGAACACATTACCTTATAAACTTTTTTCTCCTCCTTAGCTGTTCTGACAAAGATGCTGCTCATGCCTTACTTTACTTCAAGGGGGGGAGGGGGAGAAAGAAACCAGAGTATTGGGGATGAAAGAAGAGATACTACTAAACCATGAGAATAGAAATTCTATTCTGTCGTAGTTGATTTGATCCTCCTCTTTTTCCTTGAAGACAAACTTTGCTACCTTCTAAAGCTTGGAAGATCTGCTTTCTCCATCTGCCCCACCTGCCCAACCACAAATGCTTCCTCTGAAGCTACTCAAAGAGCAAGTTTGCTCGAGCTTCGAACGGGACTGATCAGTTGCAATTCTAAAGCCCTGCATTAGTTAAGCACCCCTGCATTTTAAGTTGCCTCTCTTTCCCACAGAGGCACAAACACAAAGAGGCATTCAACTTTTTCTAAGGAAGAGCCCCATTTGAAGGAAAACAAACCCCCAAGCTTTTGCTAAAACAATCCCCTTCCTACTGTCTCCCCTCCCAATAACGTTACTACTTTATAGCTACCAGAGAAGATTAGAGCCGCGCGCAATTGACAAAACAATGAAACTGACTAGTCCTCCTCCCCGCTTGTCTCCATTGTCCAAGTCAAAACGAAAACGAAGGGGTGGCGGGGGGGGGGGGAGAGCGTTTCTTTTCCAAGAGACAGGTGGGCTTCCAAGAGGAAGTGAGGCTGAGTGCCGGAGAAAGACAAACGCAGCACCTTAAAAGTGGGAAAGACGGCCAGGGATCTACCGAAAGCTTCCGAAGACGAGGTTAGGGAGACGGGGCTCCCTTTCAGCGGGAGTTTTATTCTAAGTGCCGTGAGAACGAGGCGCCGGATCCTCCAAAGCTGCGTCCCGGACACCTCTACTTCCCTGCCCCAACCCCGAAATCTCACCTGCCTCGGGGAACTACACGTCACCCTTCCCGCTTCTGGCTGCTTCTGCTGTCGCCGCCGCCGCTGCTTTCAGGGCGCCAAAGACGAGGCTTTTGTTGTAGCCCTCCGTCTCGGGGCCGGGGTCTTGAGCGGAGTGAGGGGGGAGAAGACTGGAACGATATTAGCATCTCTAAGGGGCGGCCCCAGAGGGGGCAGAGGTGAGCCGCCTCCGATTTTCCTCTCCTCCGTCTGGAGCCCTCCCTCGGGTAGTCAGCCCCCCCCTTCCTCCCCAACCCCCCACGTGAACGCCGCCTTTACATCCACCTGACAAATCGGCGCCGGGCGCACAATCGCGGCTCCTTCGCTCGAGTCCCACCAGCCATCCTCCGTTAGCCGGGAGAAGCTTCCCCCCCACCCCCACCGCCACCGCCACCCCCGCGCACCTCGAATCTTTCTCTCTCAGCCGCTCTGGCCGCTCCAGAAAACGGCCCAGTTCCTCAGCCTGCGTCACTCCCACACACACACACTCCCCAAAGTCGTCTACTACTCACTAGTAGACCATTTGCCCGGCTCTCACCTCCCGTTCTTGCTCTTTCTTGCCCTCCCGTTTAGTCTCCCCCTTGGCGAGGTCGCTTTCCTCCACCCTTAGTTAATTCCTCGCCTTCGGCAACGCACCCCACTTTTCGGACGCATCCAACCCTTCGCCCAACTAGTTGCTGTTTTCCCTTCCAGTTACTCTCGAGTACACCGCCCTGAGTCCCTCGGGAGAAGGTCGATATATAAATTCGAAATAAAATAAAATAAAAAAAATAAATATTGGACTACACCCCCCCATACTCCCCAGCCAGCACGCCACAGTGCTGGAAAAGGCTGATGGCTCTAGCCCCCCCTTCTTGGGGGTGGCATCTCAAATTTCAATTTTTTATTGTCAGTGCACAACTGTATGTACAGTCAGTGAGATTGGTTGAGCTCCCTCAGTGCACTCTCCCCCCCCCAACACAATACGACTCACAGTGAAGACAGAAAATCCCTGACCTAATAAATCATATCAACAAAACACCCACTCGTGTGAACACGTTACACGTTGCGCGGAATCTCTCTGGCTTCCTTCCCCTCTCCCGCAGCCACTTTTGCATTCACACCGTCTCTTCCCCGCCCCCTCCCAGCCCTCGCCCATCCCCACAGCAAAGGGCAGCCTCTCTGCCTTCAAACGACTCACGTACCCTGAACTCTGCGGAGCGGGCACGGGCCAGTTGCCCACTTTCCGCCCGGATGTCTCCTCTCGCCGCCTTCTCCCCTCGGGGCTCCCTCTTCGCTTTTTCCCTCCCACAGTACCCCCGACCCCCCTGTAGGGGTCGCTTCGTACCTCGCCCTCGGCTAACGTTTCCCAGGCGGCGAGAGGCAACCGCGCGCAATTACGCAAACCACCGCGGCGGGAAACGGAGGCGGCCTTACCAGCCTCAGGGCTCCGCGCTCCGTCCGGCGGTCACGGCGGCATCGCTTGCCCGTGCGCTGCCCCCCTGGAGCTCCCCGGTTCACGGGGTGGGGGCTCTCTGGACGCTCGAGACGGAACTGGGCGACGGGGAAGGGAGAAAGCAGAAGCAGGCCGAGAACGGACGAGGGGGAGGGCGGGCTTGCGCGCTGGGAACGCCCGGGAGGAGGAGAGCCGGGGCCGGAGACCTCCCTTCGCAGGCGCAGCTTCGCACGAGCAAGCAAGATGAGGAATGGGGGAACGGAGGAAATGCCCCCATCGCTCCGCCATCAATGCTTCGTACATCAATGCTTCTCCCGCCTTTCCCGTTCTATATAGGGAGGCTTGTCAGTCGGAGGAGGGTTTTAGTTTTTTTAAAAAGAGCAGGTGCAGTCCTCGACTTACAGCAATTCGTTTAGTGACCATTCAAAGTTACAACGGCACTGAACAAAATGACTTGGAACCACTTTTCATACTTATCTCATTGCAGCCTCCCTGTGGTCATCTGATCAGAATTCAGATGCTTGGCAACTGACTCATATTTATGACCATTGCAGTGCCCTGCGGTCACATGATCCCCTTTTGCGACCTTCCGACAAGCAACATGAAGGGGAAAACCAGATTTACTTAACCAGGTTACTAACGTAACAACCGCAGTGGTTCGCTTAACAACTGTGGCAAGAAAGGTTGTGAAACTGGGCAAAACTCACTTAACAAATGTCTCACTTAGCAACAGAAAATTTGTGGTCGTAAGTCGAGGACTATCTGTACTGGCCAGGATAACTTTTTCTGTGTTGCCCCCATAGAATTTTTTTTTTTTTGAATTCCCTCCCCAGTGGGGAGGGTCCCTATTAGCATCATGTCAGTGTTAGGTGAAGACTTGGGGGAGGGGAATCCAAGGATTTTGAACTGGCATTTGAATTATATTGTAGTTCTTAGCTTTTGAATGAGTGCCTGGCTGTTTCCTAGTTTATATGGAGCATTTATTTTGAATTTGATTTAATCAAATTCTGCAGACAAAGCACTGTAATTTAACACCAGCTGTCTGCAATTAAAGTAAGTTCGAATCTTGCCAGGCTCAAGGTTGACTCAGCCTTCCATCCTTTCTAAGGTAGGTAAATTGAGGACCCAGTTTGTGGGGGGCAATAAGCTGACTTTGTATAAAATATACAAAAGTATGAAGGCTATTGCTTAACGCACTGTAAGCTGCCCTGAGTCTCCGGAGAAGGGCGGCATATAAATCAATTTTTTAAAAAAAATCGTACACTATATGTTTTTATTTAGATTGCATTTTTAGTGGGTTTTATTGTAGATCATTAAAAGGAGGCATACAGCTAATGGGTGGTTTTAAATAAAGATTAATATAGATGGGAAGATTCATTGTTGCATGATGTTTGACACAGAGCAACCTAAATCTGGATAGAGCTCTTCCAGAGGGTTCAGGATGAACATGAGGGCTGCCCTACTTAGTCTGAGCAAAGTTCCATTTAGTCCAGAATATATCTGTCTGTCTGTCTATCTCTACCTATCTACAGTACCTACGGTACCTACCTACCTCTGTCTCTCTCTCTATTTACCTATACCTATATCCATCTATCCATCCATCCATCCATCCACCCATCCAATTTATATGCCAGACTGTTAAATTTACTAGCCAGATTCCTGCTAGGCAGCCCACAAACAAATCTCAGTCACAATGGAGGCTGAGTGGCCCAGAGTTCAGGCTGGCAAATGGTAGGCATGAAATGGGAATGAGGGGTCCTTGGTGCTCTCTGAGCTTTATGATTTTCTTGCAAATGTTTCATTACCCAAACTAGCACTGATGAGGTTACCTAGTTTGAAACATCTGCAAGAAAACAAGCAAGCTCAGAGAGCACCAAGGACTCATCCTTTCAACCCTAAGCTACAAATACTAAGCTACTTTGTTGATTAAATGGGAACGTAAGGGACAACTGTGACAAGGATGATTGAATACATGAAGGTATAGTGTGCTGTGATTTGTAAAACAGCAGGAAAACTCATGCAACAATGCTTCACTTGGACACTAACTCATTTTCTAGGCTCATTGTGTACTCTGGGCTTGCAGTATAAGTAGTTCACAAAACCTACTGAATCACAAAAAAATCACCAAGGTTAACACCAATTGTCAGCTAAAGCATCATTTTGGCAACACTCTAAGCAGATGCATATATGGAATAGAGGGTATAAAAAATTAAGATGATGGTTGCAACTGCTCCTTTTTTTAGCTGCAGATGTGACTTTACATGATTTTGTTTTTATATCCCCATGCCTCTACTTGGCATGTTGAACTGTGTGATTAGAGGCATCAATTTTTGTTGGGGGCATTGTGAATCCAGTTAATTTATTTAATACATTCTTATTTATTTAATTAATGCTTCTGATACAAAGGAGGGCTCCGTGTGTGAAATTAATACAGCTGCTGCCATGTGCTTTCATTTGCATATCTCATTCATTCATTCATTCCATGACATGAAAGACTTCATTTCCCTGTCTTAAATTCATGACATTTTACATTCATTTCTTCCTTCTTGTTTGGCATCTTCTAGCAGCTCAGCAAGAGGAGAGGTGAGATAGTAAAGCGAACACAAGATATGAGGTCAAAGCAGGTAAGCTGTATTTGACATTAAAAGAACATAAGGAAATAGGAAAAGCACCTGCTGTTTCAGTAGATTGACATTCACGGCAAATGTCCAGCCTTTGCTGAATATTATTCTTCATTTGTGAATGTTTAGAAAAGGTTGGTGTGATTTGTTTGAGATTTGCCAGTTATGGATGCTCAGATTCACCACCTTCCCAAATAGAAACAAACAAACAAGTATGGATATTCTTGAAAACCAATTTTACAACACTGGATGAAAGATTCTCTTCATTCTTCAAAGCCCCTAGATCAAAACTAAGGCAAGAATTGTGAATAATTTCCAATTTAGTGTGCATTCCCATTCAACACATCTGAGCAAGCACATGTACCACTCGATACACCTGGCCAAAAATATTGCTTGAGATAGATAGATAGATAGATAGATAGATAGATAGATAGATAGATAGATAGAATTCTTTATTGGCCAAGTGTGATTGGACACACAAGGAATTTGTCTTTGGTGCATACGCTCTCAGTGTACATAAAAGAAAGACATTCGTCAAGAATCATAAGGTACAACACTTAATGATAGTCATAGGGAACAAATAAGCAATCAAATCATAATAGGAAACAGTCTATATAAATTGTAAGGATACCAGCAATAAGGTTACAGTCATACCTTGTGGGAGGAGATGGGTGATAGGAACAATGAGAAGATTAATAGTAATGCAGACTTAGTAACTAGTTTGACAGTGTTGAGGGAATTATTTATTTAGCAGAGTGATGGCTTTTGATATTGATTCCTTATCAAAAAGGCAAAGGCAGGAAGAATAACAGGTGACCAATTTACATGATCTATAATGTAAATGCCTATATTAAACGGTACAGAACTCTAAAACCGCTCATAAGAAGTCTGGTTAATGAGCAAGAATAGTCCCAAAGGGCATGGCATTTTCTTGTTCAAACCTTTACACTTTTATGTACTAAGAATAGTGGAAAAAAGACAGGAAATAGGACACTAGGGGAGTCTTCAATTCTGCATGGAAGGCATAATTTGGCAGATGGATTATGTATGCAACAGGAGGGATTCTGAGCCTGTTTTAAGAGCATTACAAACCCTTCCCTTCCCCCTTTTCTGCAATTTCAGATTTCCGTAGCATAGTGTATTATTATAAGATACCTTAAATGGCAAAATTGCCAGATT